AGCCCTTCTTGCTCTGGGCATTTGGCCTGGTTGGGGTCAAAACCTATTGATTACAGGGAGCAGCTGTGTCATTATCCTATTAGGAGATGATAAGAAAATGATTCATGGGGGTGCCCTGGGCCTGGGAGGAGTCTTTCCCTCACAGCCTCTTTGATCTGGACAGATCAGACCTCAGCGAGGACTCGGGAGGGGCAGGGCCCTCTCTGTCCCTCTCCATCGCTGAGTGTCCATCACTCAGAACTATTGCCAAGTTCCTCGTGGAGACAGATGAGGCACCCGGAGCAGCAACAACTTTGCTGGTGGGTCTTCACTCCCTGGGTCTCTCTACTTTCCCCCAGACCTTGACCCAGTGCCCACCAGAGTCCTGGCTCAGCCAGTGCTAATGGAGTGGATGGACAATATCCACATCGCTCTCTGCGTCTCTTCTTCTGGCCCCAGCCCGCCATCTCTCGTGTCCCCAACATGTTTCACTCTTCAGCCGCCCCCTGGTCTCCCTCACCTCCTCCCACCTTCCCTTTCACCTGGTGTTTCTCCCAAAGCCATTGGACCCCCCATCCCACTGGGGAGAAACTGAGGCTCACTTTGGAAGGTGCCGACCTCGCAGGGCCCCAGATAAGACACAGTACTAGCACCTCAGAGTCAGAAATGCAGAGCACACAGAACACGTGCCCTTACGACACGTGCCTGAGGTAATCTTGCATTTACACCCACACAATCAGAGATTCACACACACAGCACATGCAATCGCCTACCAACACAAACATAGGCACAAAATCACAGAATCACTGCAGACAACACATCCAGAAATAGCCTATCCCACATGCAACACAGATACCCCCATCATGCAGTTACATGCCAGTCACTGATGGACATCCAGCCAGTTCCTACGCGGACTGGGAACTAAGACTTGGTTTCATTCACTGTTGTATCCCCAGCAACTCGAACAGATCATCATCATCATCATCATCATCATCATCAGTACCATGAACACAAAGTATTTCCTCTGTGCCAGGCACAAGTCTAGGCACTTTACATGAATTAACTCATTTAATCCTCTCAAAAACTCTACTTGTGACAACCCATTTTGCAGATGGAAATTGGAGGTCCAGGACAGGTTAGTTATTTGCTCAACATTTCACAACCAGTAAGAGGCCATCAGGATTTAAACTCAGGTTTTTAGTCCATTGCGCAAGGCTACCACTCAATAAATAATGCCAGCCTTAATCCAGTCAGAATTATAGAACCTTGACAGCTGAGACCACACCCAAACTCAGGCGCACAGTGGGTAGTAGAATCAGAGAAGCCAACAGAAACACACAAATAGGAAAAACCCCTTCACACCCCAGAACACGGGGACACACACAAAGTGACACATACAGAGACAATCCCCACAGACACAGCACCCACAGAGACACACACCACACCAAAACCTAGACACAGGGACCCACCCAGAGCTCCCTGTTCCTGGGCTGGCCCTCGAGGAAGCAGCAGGCTTAGGATGGAAAGGGGGCTGGCCACCTCACTTGCCCGCTCAGCCTGACTGGTTCCACCAGGCCATGGATGGCACCACCCGCCTTATGAAACCCTTGTTGGGCAACTGGACCCAGACCTGGCCTGGACTCCTAGATTCTGGGGAGAAGGGACTGGGTGTCCCATTCATGGATTCTAGGGCGGAGCGGAGGGGGATTGGGACCTGGACTCTTGGGGCCTGAGGAAGGAGGGCTGGGGGCCAGAATCCTGGGTTCTGGGAAAAGAGGGGGCCAGGTACTTGGATTCTTCTGTCTTTGAAGGTAGGGCTCCATGTTTAGCAAATAAAAATACAGGATGCACAGTTAAATTTGTAAAAGGCAAAAGATTTATATGATCTGAAGAGAAACCAGAGTATATATAGGATGACCAGTTAAATTTGAATTCAGATTAACAACAAATTTTTGTTAGTATAAGTATATCGCAGATATTGTGTGGGACATGCTTATACTAAAACAGTATTTGCTGCCCTGGCTGGTTTGGCTCAGTGGATAGAGCATCGGCCTATGGACTGAAGGGTCCCGGGTTCGATTCTGGTCAAGGGCACATGCCCAGGTTGTGTGCTCGATCCCCAGTAGGGGGGGGGGGGGTGCAAGAGGCAGCTGATCAATGAATCTCCTCTTATCA